TTGCCTAAGCACCTCACTTTTTATGTTATGCATTAATTTTACTTGTATAAAACCTTTTCAATTTCATGAAATCAAAATTATCTATTTTGGGGTATATGAACTACTTCTACATTTGTGTGATGTGATCTTTAATATTTAGAAACCTTAGCATTTTAAGGGCTACTATCTTATATTTAAATTTGGATATAGTTTGTGTGTGTGTGAATTAAAATTTATCTAGGACTTATTTCCAAAATCAAAGACTAATTTAAAACTTTTGCCTCACTATTTTCTTTGTAAGTCTCACATTGGACTTAAATGCATTAGAAATATTAAAAATATATATATATATATATACCAGGACAACAGAAACCACCATTTTTTCCCTTCTGGTGGTTTTGTTCTCTTTTCTAGTTAGGAGGCAAATTATTTCATTTTCATTATCAGCACAGTGCATAAACCATCTGTTACTAGAAGGTATAAGCCCAAGACCATTCAGCCCAAAGCAGCATGAGCAGCTGTAAATCCAGAGGGCCTATGCTTTCTAAATGGAGCAAAGGTTTGTACATCAATCTCTCCAAGTTGCTGAGTAGCTGGTACTGTGCCCAAAACCTAGCAAGTAAATTCATTTTGTTTAAATAATAAAAAAAAGATATGTTGTGGCAGTTCAGAGCTCATGGAGTTTAAGCATTTTTTTTTTCAAAAGCTGTAAGCATGAGCTCCACTAATTGTGAGCCATGGAGAAGTCACATAGCTTTTCTGGCAGGCCAATACCTGTTCAGAAGTAGCATCATTTGGCCCTTAGGCACTATTATGTTCTTTTCCAGCCCCCAAAACACAGTACAATAGAAAGTAATTCATATTTATATATTACATTTAGGGAAACTGAGGGGTGACTAAGTGATTTATTTAACATGGGCCAACCCTTACACTCTAGACAGAGACATGATGAGAACCCAAATCTCCCAGTCTGGATTCCATACACCATTCTCTGGGCTCCTTGGCAATCCCTGGGCTATCTTCCAACTCTCAGTATTAATCATGGGCCAATGTAACATGTAGAACTTTTACAAATTCCAACTGTGTATGTTTTTAATTGCAAACATACACTTATTTTAAATTAACCCTAAGGCCAACACTATTGAAGCATGAAGTGTGTGCAAATTATCCTACACAAAATATTTTAATTTTAAGTATTAGTGATGTCATTTTCATTACCCAGCAGCCTGTTGTCCCACATTATGTGTAGATGATGAAAGGAAAATGATTCATAAGCATGTTCCCTTAGCTTCCCTTGTGGCAAACATACAGCTCGACTACTTTGGTCTGGGTGTGGTGATTTTGACCTTAGTGTCCATTGTGTGTGTGGTTTGGGTTTTTTCAAAGTTTGTTTTGCTTTTTTCAGTCTGCCTACTTCTATTTGGGAGTGTAATCTAAGGAAAGTGTATTTGTTTTCCATGGGCATTATGATTTGCTCATATTTTGTAATGACACATGTAGGATAACACCCTACTTATTATAGCAGAGTTAAGGGTCTGTCACTGTTTCCATGATAAAGTCTTGCTTGCTAAGGTTTATTACACAGCCATACCAAATCGCTACAGGCAGAAACTTGGCATTGCTTATCCCCAGCTAGGAGGAAATTATTTTTGGCAATTAAAAAAAAGATAAAATTAAATACATGTTTACCAGCTAAAAAACACATGAGCTTGCTAATGTAATTTTAAATCAATTTAATGAGGAAAGATACATATATGATATGGCCTATATTTTTTTAACTTTTTTCAAGTTAGTAATTGAGTTATTGAACTAGAAGTAAAGTATTGCTCAGCTGCTATATGTTTTCTAAAAAATCAACTTTTAAATGATGTGGTTTGCATCTTATATTGGTTTGCTGAACTGATACAATAAGCCCCAGTGAGTGTGAGGGCTGCTGAGTAAGTGATCCAGGAACAAAATAGAATTTGAGCAGTAGCGCAGGACTGCTCCTTCAGAGATGTCCTCATTCATCACAACAGAAATTCACCTTCTAAAGAGTTAGATATGTTTCCCCAGGTAAATATAGATGAAAAAAAGAAGTGATGTTCAGAGGTGTAAAATGACTACCCTGTGAAGATAATGACAATTTTAGAGTCAAAATTTGAACCCAGGCCTTGAACAGATCAGTAAGAAATGAATTTGATGATCAATTTACAGGTTATATGGAAAAATCTGACTGGACTAAGAGTCAGTAGGCCTGAGTTTTCCAGCAAGTTCTGACACTCCTCTGTAACCTTGCCTAAATTATATAACCTCCATGAATCTCAGTTGCCTAATCTATCATCTTACTCACCTCAAAGGAATATATAAAGATAAAAAGGGCTTTTAAAGTATATAAGGTGCTATACAAATATAAGATAAATTCTTATCATGTGTCTTGAAGCTAAGCAGTCAAAATTGATGGGAAATTAATATTACTACATATTCTTAAAACAATATTTCATTCCAAACAACATTATTTTGATCTTGTGCTTACTTACGTAAATGTCTTTTTTTTTTTGCTCCAAGTCCTTCAATTAAAATGAGATAGGGTTGACTGTGTTTATGAACTAACTTTGTTTTTGAGGAAGGCCTATCCAAAGTAGCAGTGTTTGGTTTGGGTATATTGTAAGTTTTTTCTTTTGGGGGGTAATAAGATCAAAATTCAATTAAAGAATTTAAATAAAAACTTTAAATAGGCATATTTGCTGAGCTTAAACTTGAAAAGATGCCTACATCAGTCCAAATCTCCAACTGCTATAACCTGGTAGTAAATATTTTAACTCCGTATCTCTGTAAAAAATTAAACAAAGCATACCTATCAGACAACTGCCAATAAACCAATTTATGAACCACTATTTTTAAATTGCCCTTAAGTTAGAGACCCATACAATTATTACATTCAGTACACTTGTGCTCCCTCTACTGCTTTGATGGAAACATTAACTCATCAAGACCTCAGTACAATTTCCTCAGCAGGGTGCAGTGTCTTTGCAAAAAGCAGCAAAAAAAAAAAAAAAAAGTGTGCACAAATTAGGGGGAGTTCATGAACTGGAACACAGAAATGGTAGAAAATAATTATGTCTTAAAAAAAACTGCAAACCTTTAAAGCCACAAATTGATGGGGACAAGAATCTAGGAATAGGCACAGAAGAGACAAGAATCAGGGAGGAAAAGGTGAGTAAAGGAGTTAAGTGGGATATTGTGGGAGTTATGAATTTTTTGGAAACTACTATTTTATAGCAAATCATTTTAAAATATAAAAGCATTCTTGATACAATTTTTCTAATCCCACAAATATGCTGCCAATAAAATTTAATGAGTAGAATTCTTTATATGTTCCTGATAGCTAAGTAATCCATGACATATGTTAGGTAGGAAGATTCCCCGAATCCAGGAGTACGATGGTGGTAGGGGATAGAATGGAAGGCTTTCCTAGGCATTTCCTTGCCTTTTAAAGTTTGCCCTGTCCGTGTATGAATGTAATATCTGGTTTGTGAATAGTACTATAGTACTACACATTTGCTTACTGCTTCATGAAAGCTGTACTCCTTTGACTAAGCTTTTATTTGCATGAGATAGTCTCACTTTTAAAGAGACAGTGCCGGATTTCTCTTATTTGCAATTTAATCCTTTCTCATCTGAAAACAACTGCTTCCAATATCCTAGATCATGAAACAGTATCATGAGAATTATGCTTAGCTTTGGACTTGCAGGAAGAAATAGTTACAGATTTAAGTCATAGTTTATTGCTGTTCATTTCAGAAATTAATGGCACATTCTTGTTTTACTGTCTTAGTAATATACAGATTTAGTTTCCTTAAGGGTGCATTTAAATTAATTGGCTGACTCTAATCTGAATTATGAGTTTAAATTTGCTGAAGGCTGTTAAAATAACTTGAACTGCTTATGTCAATGAAATAATAAAAATATTTGCTCTCTTTATTAAAAAATTATCTTAATGCAAGATGACTAAAAATAGACTGGAGGTGGATTGGACAGTCTGCAGATTATGAGTTGGAATAAAAATATCTCACTTAAGCCAAAAACATGGCAACCAATATTTTCTGTTATAAAAATATTTTAGATGAATTTAGTTTTTATGAAAACTGTCTGAAGCTGAAAGGAATAGCAGCAGCTCTATTTATTCACAAGCCAGTAATAATACCTGAGGTTCACAAAAGAGGAGTCATTATTGCATAAAACCAACCAGTTCCCGTTTTTTGTTCAAAATCCCCACTCTGATGAGGATGTTAAAATTTTACCTATTATGTTATTTGATACCAACCTTTACTTTGCTAATGCTTGTCAATTGGAACAGCAAAAAAGACCACAGCTTTTTGAGAAATGGATCATAACTGTCCACTAGAGGCTGTAATGAGACCAACAATGTCATTGAACAGCAGACCCTGGATTTTCAAATGGTAAAAATAAATAAAAATGTAAAAATGAGTAATGATGACCAATGGTTCTTTTTATGAGTAACAAATTATGTGCTTGGATTTTCAAAATTGTAGAAAAAAACTATTTTTCATACTCTACACACTGTTTTATTTTCATATCTAAAGTATAAGGCTTTGCAACCCTTAAGGGGTCTACAAGCCGACATCACATTTCTTTTGGTGATTCTGGATTTGCATGACATGTTGACTAATGTATTTCAGTCACACATGAATGCAGCTGAAAGATCCATACATACAGGCAACAAGTAGAGTATTAAAATACAATGCTAAACTTCTTTTTGAGCTATATGTTGCCTGTTTCTCCTTGAAGGGGGCTAGACAGTGTCCTGACACCTATAGGTTCCCCATTTATCTGCCATAAGAGGAAGCTGAGCTTGCTTCAGCATGAATGTGGCTTCTTTTTCTCTATGTTTGCCACACCTGTTGGCAAGGCGAATATTTCTCAGAAAGAGATTCCTTCCTACTGAGGTAACATTCAACAAGGGATAAAAAACAAAACAAAACCCCAAAACAAAAACCTAACAACCCTGAAGAGCTTACCACTGAGCCCAGAGGATTGCTTGGAGCTTTCTAAAGTTCATTTGATGTTTGTCATTCCCCATCTCTCACTAGGACCTCATTTCTGATTAAATCAATGAACTTGACACTGTCCAGGTGAAGGTGATGTTTTCTGCTGTAGCTGGCTGCTCTGCTTAGACATTAGGAATGGTTACTGAACATCGGGGTCCAAAGAATCTTTCCGGGCCTGTTTTTGAGAGTAAGGGAATGGGCAAGGGATAGTCAGTAACTAGGTTTCAGAGATAGTGGAAGTAAGTGTATACCTAGCGGCCCTCAAAGTTGCCCCAGTAGAAAGGGACCTTGTAGTCACCCTCGATTTTCTGAATTAGAGAATGAGCTCCCAAAGCCTTGTATTACTAACCCACTTGCTTGCCCAACCGGTTTCAGGGTAGACATGAGCTGTTCATTTAGCAGAGGCAAGATACATCGAGCATCAGTGTCCAGCGGAGCTGTGAGTTCGGTTAGACCAGCGGCGATTGAGCAATTCTCTCTCTGACACTCACCTTGATCCTCCTCTTCTCCTCTAGTCGACACTTCTGTAATCTCCCTGGGGTTTGAGTAAAAAAGTCAGTCGGAGCTTCTCGGAGACCTTTCCCTGCCTTGCTTGCCAAGGAAGTGAAAGAAGAGTGTGTGTGTGTGTGTGTGTGTGTGTGTGTGTGTGTGTGCGCGCGTGTGTGTGTTCGTGTGCGCGCATGTGTGTTTGTGTGCAGGTGGGGGTGGGGGGCATGGCAGTGGCGGCGGCTAAGACCGGGGTTTAAATAAGTCAGCCCCACTACCTTGACCTCTCATTTATGACACTCTTCCCTTACTCTCATCCCTCACCTCCTCCCATCCCCAAAGCTACTTTTTCGGAGGAGTGGTTAATGGGTGCAGGTTTTGGAATGAAAACTGCTTCTCCCCCCCACTGCCCCCCCCCCCCCCCCCGCGCCAATCCTTAATCCCTCCCAGTAAATTCTTAGAAGAAGGCTGTGCAGAGACCAAGGAAGGGTTAAGCCCGGCTGGCCAGGCTCTGCTGTGCGTATGCAATAATCTGTGTGGCTCTCCTGGATGTTCGCCAAAGAGTTGCCTTGCCTCCTCCCCCTCCCCCCCCGTCCGGCCTCCTCTGCCCCCGCCCCCCCAGCTCTTTTCACTCCCCCCCCCCAGTAGGATCCTTGAGCGGTTGCAGCGGCAGCCAACTGCTCCATATTTGGCTTCTATTACACATTTACATACTGGAGCAAGCGAGCAAGCAAGAGAGGGAGGGAGGGAGGGAGAGAAAGAGGGAAAGAGAGGGGGGGGTGGAGGGAGGAGGGAGAGAGGGAGGGGAGTGGAGGAGGAGAGAACAGTGTATACCGCAGACATCATTTCTACTACAGTGGCAGAGACGTCCAGGACCTGTTTCACTGCAGGGGGATAAAAAACAAGCCCTGTGGATCAGCAACAGCAGCAGCAAGCAGCAACAGCCGCCGCAAGACATTGTTTCTCTCCCTCTGCCCCCCTTCCCCAAGCAACCCCAGATCCATTTACACTTTACAGTAAGTGGCTATTTTTTTCCTCCTGTTTCTTTCTCTCCCCCTCCCCCTTCTTACTCTCCTCCCCCTCACCCCCCTCCCCGTCCTCTTCTCCCCTTATGTAGATTAAGACCCTTCTTTCTGCTATCCCGGGAACAACATCATCAACAACAACAAACAAATCCAACCTAAACCCTCAAACGGCGGCGGCACCGACAACAGCTGGAAGAGCAGAGAAGAAAATAATACGCGTTGTGTTGTGTGTGTGTATGTTGTGTGCGTGTGTGTACATACAACCTTCCTACGCTTCAGCCTCTCTGTTGCCAACACCCCCACTCCCAGCGCTGGGGCAATTGGCTAAGGGAACAGGCCAGGAAGCAGATGGAATAGGTGTAGGCGGGAGTGGGGGTGGGGGACACGCGCCCCAGGGGGGAGGGGGCGGGGGGGGGTGGATTGTCCCTGGGTGCCCGGGGAGATTCATTGCACCCCTGTTACTGCTGCTGCTGCTACTCGGGCTCCCGAGTGCATGTAAGAAATGTCCTCCCTCGGGGTGGCGAAGAAGGAGTCAGCAGAAGCCTGCACTCTTCTCCACCTCACCCCCCCCAACACTCACCCCACTCACCCCCACTTTGCACTCTCTAGACTGGGGGGTGGAGGGACTCTGTGGGGTGTGTGTGTGTGTGTGTGTGAGAGAGAGAGAGCGTGCACCCGTAGGTATGTGTTGATTCTGGGGAGGGCTGGACTCGCAGCTTACCGGCTTCTTCCTCCTTGCTGCTGGGGGTCGCCAAGCCTGGAAAGACTGTCCTCCTCTGTGTGTGTGTGTGTGTGTGTGTGTGTGTGTGTGTGTGTGTGTGTGTGCACGCGTCTAGGAGAAGTGGCCGGGGGGGGGGTTCCGCTCAGGACTTTGCAAGTGGCCAAGATCTACTGCCCTGGCTAGGAGAAGAGGGGTGGGAGTATTGGGGAGAGGGAGTAAAGGGGGAACAGAGAGACAGAGACAGAGAGACAGAGAGACTGAGGCTGAGAAGGGTAACGGGGAGGGGACGCGCGCGCGCGTGAGTGTGTGTCTGTGGGTGCCCTGAGCAGCGGCAGCGGCTGGAGTGGCGGCCCTGGCTGGCTACTGCCTTGTTTGTGCGGCTGCTTCCTGATCATGTGGAGCCTCAGCTGCTGCTGCTGCCGCCGCCGCCGCCGCCGCCGCCGCCGCCGCCGCCGCCACCACCGCTCTGCTGCTGCTGCTGCCCGGTGCCTGGCTAGCACTCCGTTCAGGGGGTGGGGGGAGGCTTTTCGCTGGTGCCGGCTGCACGTTGCACAGGAGAGAGCGTAAGAGAGTAGTAGAGGAGCTGGTGGCCGTGGGGCAAGTCCTGCCCCCGTGCCTAGAGTGAAAGGGGTTGTGTGGTTGCTGAGAGGGTGAATGAAGCCAGGAGGAGGGGAAGGAGAAGGAGGAGGAGGCGCTGCAGGGATTGGGATGCGCCCAGTAGCCCCGCTGTTCACTCAGGGCCGGGCCAGGCCGGAGACACCATCACCACTACCACTACCACCGCCTCCTACTTGTTCCAGTGCTGAGTGAGTGCAGGCCAGTCCCCAGAGGACAAGTGAGGGAGAGGGGGAGGGTATGCAAGCAGGGCCGAAAGGGGAGAGGTAGAAGTGAGGTGTTGTAATAAGAGGGGCGTGTGTGTGAGTGTGTCTGTTTGTGTGTTTGTGTGTGTGTGTGTGTATTGGGGGAAGGGGTCATGCTTGGAAAGAGACTTTGAGATTGGGAGCTTGGTTATCTCTGATCTCCTGGTTTTTTCTGCACCGGCTTCAACCCCTTCACCTTCTCCCCCCCCCCCACCTCAATTGGCCTCAAACTTCCTGTGCTGGGCTTTCGTTTTGTTTCAGGCCATGCAGGGGTTTTGCTGGAAGTGGTAAAACAATTCAAATTTTCTAGGGAGAACCTTAGTGAGGGGTGAGGGAGGAAGGATTGAAGCTGATGGTGGAGATTGTGTCGGGGGTGGGGGGGAACACTGCACAGTTTCCAAGGACATTGGGAATCAGCCAAAACCCGTTCCAGCACTGTTTTGTTTTGTTGTTTTTGATAGCTACAACCCTACAAAAATTGGGAACATTTAAATACTTTTGCAGATGGGGAAATTGCTGAAGAGTAGTAATGGCAAAAAAAAAAAAAAGCAAGTCGGAAGCTGGTTATATAATGCTCTATGTGGATAACAAGAACAAGCTATTTTTATTTTGTTTACCGTATGCTGTGCAGTAGGGACTCCTCCAAACTGGATCTATCCCGGATGAGATTCTGAGCTTCCCCCACAAGATGCTCAGGATACAGTTAACAAAATCAGAAGACCCCGTTGTCCATAAACAATAAAAGCTAATGCTTTGAAATATCATCTTCTCCTTAAATATGGTCTTGAATACACAGCAGTGAGTATAGGTGAATAAGTTCAATTTTAGAAATAGAGTAGTCCCAGTTCGGTGATATTTGTTTTTTTTATAATATAGATTGCACTTAATTTTTAATCGTCATTGTTATATATTATGTAGTAATGGTTAGTTACTTATTAGATATTTTTAGGCACACTTTTGCTAATGTCTTAGGTAAGCTTTCAGCATTTGGGTTTTTGATGAAACCTTCAGTTAACAGAGACCCCTGCCATCTTCCGACAACCTCTTTGCATTATTCAGCGGATGAGAATAGTTTGATCCGCTGACTCCTTGGAATGAAGGTTATTGACGGAGGGAGCTACCAGAGAAAAGGGAAGGGGGGTGGGAATCCCACAATAAGCTATTGGAAAGAGGTTGCATCATAGCTGCTAATACCATGCTATTTAATCTCCTCTGCCCTCTAACTGTTCATGCATCATTCAATATTTTACTGGTTAGCAGATCTCTCTAATAAATAGGCTTTAATGCCATCTTCTATATAAAGCAGAGGTTGATGGGTTCTCTTGAACCTTCTGCCTGATTGTCTTTTTCATCATGTAGATACATGTCAATGGTGTAGGTTTGCAATGCACTTACTCCAGCCCTGATCAGTCATGTAATTAGATCAGGCTACCATGGCAACAGACAGTATTCCTCGTCCATTCAGGTGGGTTTGTCTTGTGACTAGGCTACTCCAAGTGTTTTATGTGCTGTATTTGTGCCTACCAAGCCGCAGAGGAGGACTTCACTGTTTTTACTGCATCTTCGTCCAGTAATTTAGATGGAAGACACTGTATTAGACTTCTGGTTATTCTCCTATTATGAAAGACACTACTGAAATGCTACTGTACAGTAAGGCAAATCTTACTGTGTGTGCAATATGTAAATACATCTCTCCACTTGGTGAAAGGGGCCTGACAATCCAGTTGGCGTTTATTGTTAACAGATCAACAAGTATTTGGTACATGTTATCAGCCTTTTCCAAGCTAACTGAAGAGAAGTTTTCTCTTGCAATCTGGTCCTTTTTTGGCTTGGGGGGATGTGGTCTATGACCCATTAGATCTTGCAGATTACACACATTCCCTCTGAATTTAAATTGCTGACAGGAGTAAATTCTAGGGGTTCACCAAGTGAAGTATTTGACTTTGGAAAGAGTCCACATTAATAACCTTCCTGCAATTATAACAGCTGTCTTGACGAAAGGCATTCATGTTCCAGTGTAGCTGCATTAGGCTGCATAGTGAGGGTAAATGATCTTTTACATATGTTTTTATACTGATTTTAAAAATTATATTTTTCTTCTTGGCATAGTTGAGCCATGGACAGGTCTCTGTCCCTTAAGCTGACTATATACTATATAAAATCATAAACAGCCCCCTTTAATTCAATTGTACCTTCACACTTTACTACATAATGAGAATTTTACAGACTGGTATTTTATTGTTCGTACTATATTTAGGCCACTACCCGGTTGGGTGCTTAGGCAGAGCAAAGGAAAATTTGTTGCAAAAGCAAGAGCTTTGTAGTTACTAAAACTTGATACCTAGAAAATGATAGGAAACAGATGCTCAAATAAGCTAGATGTGTTAGTTTTATACAAGGAGGCAGAAATGACAGAGGTTTTTAGTGCTTATGATGAAGTTGTGACTCTGTCAGTTTACAATCCTAGGTGCTATACATCTGAATTTGTCACTGTCTTGAACTGCTGGGAGCAAGGGAGGTTTCAGAAACCTTGCTCTCACAGAGTTTGTGTGGCTTCTTTGTCCTGTGGTCAGTCTGAAAAGAGATTGTTAGGATTTTGGCATATTTATCTTTGGGGCACAGGTAGAAAGAAAATTGCATGACATTTTTTTATAAAGTAGCTGGGAGAAAAAGTAAGTGGGGACAACGGAAAAGGAAATCACCCTCAGAAGAGAAAACAAGCCCGTACAGATGACAGTGGGTGCTGCTGCATCTGCCCAGCTCTCCCTGATATTGTTTTGTAATTCCCAGAAAATTACTGGCTCTGTAGTGCTTCATTGTACCAAGTGAATCTGTGTTTTGGATAGCACAGGTAAAGTTGTGGTAAAAGTGGGAACACTATGTTCCTGATTAGGACCTAGGAAAAACTGTAATTTTTTCCCCACCCTCTGGAGATCATTATGAAAGGGTTTGACAAAAGAAGTGCTATTTTACTGAAAATAATATAACAGGGCCTCAGGCTGTACGAATTCTCTTTTATTCCAAGAAATAGATTAAATAAAAATCCTGAAGCCTTTAGATTATGTATCAGATGTCTGAAGATGGCCTCATTTAAGTTTATGTTTCAACACACTTGATTCAATTGCCTGGTAGTCTTGGGAAAGGAAAGCCTTAAGAGAGTATTAAAATATTAGTAAATGCATTTCTATGACTAGTGTTTTATTTGTCACTGTAGAGTTCAAGGACTCACATTCTTTTTCTGAAATGATTTTTTTCTTCCATTCTGGCACGTCAAGACAGCTTTCCTTTTTTTTTTTAAATAATGCTTTTCCTAACAAGTTCAGTTTGTAACAACTCACACACCCTAGCACCTCAATACCCTGTTCATTGTCTTTCCCACCAAAGTCAGTGAATTTACTTTGCTTAACCCTTGACACTATTAATAAACAGAGGCATGAATGTTGATGCCTAAAAATATAGTTGTCTGAAAGTGAACACATACTTTGGACTTCGAAATGCTTAGAAACCTGTCCTGGTAATAGGACTTTAGTGAGGCAACACAAATAGACTGGAGTTCCTGAAAATAATATATCTTGGGAAGGAGCATTGGTGTTGCTAAGTCAATAAAGGAAGTGTATTATTAGAAGTTTGGAGTTAAAATGTGAAATCATGTATGTTGTCTCTAGTATTTGGTTTCCCATAGCAGTATTACCAGGTATAATGATAGTATAATGGAATAGGGTTTGAGTGTTTGATTTTACATGCATAACTTAATCATTTAAAAAAAACAATTTAATGGAGGTCATGTTGTAGAGGTTGTCATAGTTTATAGGGATTGTTATAGTGTAGATAGACCCTAACCAAATATTAAAATATAGGTAACCCTTAGTTGTTTACATTAACTAGGAGAGATTTGTTGCATAAATAATAGCTCTTCCTTAGATTTTCAAAACATGCACTAATAAATCATCGCAAGGTAATATTTTTAACTAAGGAGATTATGTGTAGTATAGGACATTCAACTTGTTGCCATCTATTAAGTTATTAACATGCTAGCTCTTTTTAGATCTCACTCAGACTTTAGACAGAGACACATTTACTAGTCTACTTTTTTGTTTTGTTTTGTGAGTAGAACTAGCACAATAATGTCCTAGGATGAAGAAAAAGATACTTTAAAAAAACCACATAGATTCAGTTTATTTTTAAATGTGTTATGATGTAATGAGGGTTTGACTGAGGGTTTTTGCCTCCAATGTTTAAATTTCCTCGAATATTTAAAATTGCAGGAGCAATATAAATAGTAATCTTATTTAGGTAATAGGTTCATTATTGGTAGAAGCCGTTTCTGGATTTTATTATTTTTTTCTAGAAATTTATACATATATGTATATATGTATGTGGTCATATCTGTATATATATGTGTGTGTATATGTATGTGCATACATTTACATACTGGAAAGTTGTTATATGTGTATATAAAACACATAATGTGTGTATGTATATAAACACACGTATATATGTACACACATATTATATATGTTATACACACATTTACATCTCTTTATCTATTTATCTAACTTCCCAGAGCAGTGGAGTACAAATGTTTGCACTATAATCTCTTGTCCCCAAATCATATAAAAATGTCTAGATGTGTGAGGAGGATATTTTACTTGAAATCTGTGATGTCAGCAGAAAGATTTCATTGGCTTTTTGTAACTTTTATTACCTCTAATTCATGGAATAATGAAAATTATGCTGATAATTATCATAATGTAAATCTTGTGCTGGCTGGAAAATTGCCTTGTAGTAAGCTCATCTTTAATCAGAACTGAGACTTTAGGTGGCAAAGGATCACTGGGTGTAATGTCTTTTGGATGAGTTCATTTTTTAGGAGTTTTCTTTAAGCAATCTTGTGCTATTTTAGGAGTTGCTAAAGATGACTGTCATAGGAGTTTATGTAAGGATGTATGCCTCTAAAATTCTTTTAGACCTTACTTTTCGGTAAATACATGGGAAGCTATCTATTTCCTTCTATTACCCTTATCCTCTTCCCTTCCTTTATACCTGTTGAATCTCAAGCATTATGAAGAACATAGCTGGATAGCTAAATTTAAAAAAAAAGTTCTATTAATAATGCAAACCTGTCTAGTAAATGACAAAATTTATAATTCTTTGGCCATATATTATATTTTTATTTCGTTCGTGGGTTTCTTTCTAATGATTTGTCAAAGGTTGTGTTGGCTGTCTTAATTCCTGTTATCTGTAGAAGACCAAATTCTTCTAGAACTAGTAGATATATTAACTTGATAGGCATTACTACGGTACATAATTGGTATCATGCTTAATTCTTTTGTACTATAATTGGATATGTGGGAACATTGTAATTTAGACTCTATAAAACCTTATCTTTCAGGTAATAGGTGAAAATAAAATATATGCGCGCACAGTAATGCATAAACCAACAAGTCTGAAGTCCTAGAGCCATCGACAAAAACACACTAGCTGCACTTATGTTCAAAAATTGTTCAAGAGGTTAATACTCCACTGTAGATGGGCCTGGGTGATAGCAAGACCCATTTATGAGGTCTTTTAAAAGCCAAATGTGACTGAATAGAATTTCTTTTAACAACCCCTATACAATTGTTGATTCATTTGTAGGCTCCACAAGGCTTGGGGCTTCTGTATACTTGAAATGTCAGGGCTAAAAGATAGGGGAGAGCTCGTTAATCCCAACATTCTCATTTTGCGTGCTGAGACAGCATGATCTAGGGAGAGAGTGCTGGACAAGGAGGCAGGAAGTTTTGGGTTTGAATCTTGCTTCTGATACTTTTTGCCATTTGACATGGGGTCTCTCAGGTTCCTCATTTGTCAAATGGGTCAGTAATACGTAGTACCTATTGCACATCAGGATTTTAAGTTTCCACTGAGATGATGTTGAAGAAACTGTATCCACAAGAGGTTACTTTGTTATCCTTCTCGTAGATACTTAATACAGTTCTAAGCACACAGTAGATTAACATAAATTAACCCTTTTTTGAACGCTTATTTGTAGTAGGAAAAAAAATTGGTCATTTTGTTCATTATCCTGGAAAAGTACTGGACATGGAATGGATTTATTTTCCTCTCCCTTCCAGAAATGTGCTAGGTTGGACTGGGTTCCTGAAAGTGATCTGGGGCAAACTGGTGACTGTTTAGAATGGATGCAAATGGATTTGACTACTGTTATACATTGGCAAGTTCCCAAGGACAATTGACTCAATTAACCAGTTATTCATTATCTGTAGTGGGAGATTATCACCATCAGATTCCTAACCTCAAGCTGGTTTCTCCTGAGGCCCAACATGCTTCTGGGATTTTGTTTTCTTGACTTGATTTCATATGCACTCAGAAAGCTCGAAGCAGAACATAATTGGGAAGGCATATCAATATCAAAGGTTATATCATTTCATTCTAATGTCAAAAATATGGCTTGGGAATTGTCAACTATACGCACTGTCTCTTCTAGTTAGTGTGCATAACTAAAGATTACCTGCACTTAAAAAAATCTGGTTAGGGTTAGCCTGTGATCCTAAAATAACTAGAAGTACCAAGGTATTTGATGGCTAGGGATAAAAAAAGATGGAAATTTATTTAAGATGTGGGATCAATAGATGATAGCTGTAATTTTTTTTAATCCTCTTAGTTTTAGGAAATGTTGTTTGTTTGCCTTTTTATTCTTATGGGATCAGAATTCTGATCTCAGCAATGATTTTTTTTTTATGATTTTCCCTCCATTTATGTTAGACTTTGTATTCTCTCGACAAAGGAAAAGAAACTGCCTTTTATAGTACTACATATACAGTAGGAACTGAATAAATTAATGAAACGACATGTTGCTGAATATTAGATACTGGTGTAAGTGAGGGAGTGGGCTTTATATGCCTAGATGATACAGTAGTATCAGTACATAGACTTACCTGAATCCATTTGTGATTGATCATCAATTGATCTGACTAACAAGAGTTAGGGGGAGAATATGAAACTATGGAAAAAAAGACAAAGCTAACTAGCCTAAATGGAGGAGGAAGGACCAAACATTAACCTTAGCCTCACACTGGGGTCTGGGCAGCCAAGCTGAAGTGGTCACGGTTTGATTGATGTCTCTTTGGTACCTCACTCGTTGATTCTGTTAATCGAAAGCAAATTTAACTTTTTGAAGCTGGTTTGTATTTCTCTGCATCTCTCCTGAAGCAAAAGAATTCTGTGTGTTTGTGCACAGGTGTTGAAGTGAGGGATTCTCTGTGTTTTTGACAATTACTCCGAAGTTACTGTTCTTACATGTCTCTAAAGTTATATTTGAACCCTAAAAAGGCAACTTATTTTGTTTTCCATTTGGTTTTCATCTCCTTTACTTTTGGATTGTTGCAGCTGCATCACAAGGCAAGCCAGAAGGGTGGTCCATTCAAACTTTGGATTTATTCATGGTCTTTGTACAGCAGCCCCTTCTCCCATCATCACTACTGGGAAGTGTACTATAAATCAGGTAAGAGTTTCATGATGCTATTTATTTTGTATCTTAGGGTTTAGGCAGTTTGGCCTGTAAAGAAAAATATTCTGGAAAAGCTCAATGTGACTTATCTTTCAAAGGTGAAATCATGTCACTTGTTTTGTTTCTGGTGTAGGACTAGCAATGTCTACACAAGTAAAGTGATAAGGAACTTTGAAGCAATTACCAAGGAAATGCAAAGTTTTTGCCTTATTACATTTATTGCTACAATACTTGAGGGATCTGTGATTACTTCCATATGGTTTGTCTTTCCACCAACACAGACTATAAACCCTTCTTGGTACTCTGGTCTTTGGCAATTGACATGGCCAAAAAACCTATTTCCCCTACAGCCTACTTTTTGGTGATGAGTCTTTTTTTAATTTATGTAGACTGGTCCTTGGAGGATAGACAGTTCATGGAAGAGCCTGTACTGGAATTATTTGGGGGAGTTCACAGCCTCAGACTTTCACTTACTTTGTAGTTGCATGATCATTTATAATTTTATTGGTTACTTTTACTTAATCAAAGAAACAAAAAAAAAAGATTTGCTACCAAGTGGTTATCATAAGAATAAAATGTTTTTCATCCTTTAGACTTTGCTATAGAATAATATGTTAAGATTAACATAGAGTGGGGAAAAAATACAATGGATCTGTTTGGTTTGTAGCAAACACCCATTAGTGACTCTAGTATTTCTTTCTCTTGGCCTGTTGGCATTTTACAACTTCCTGATTTCTTCACATACAGTAAACTTGGACAATCATCCAGATACTGAGTGTTTGTGAAGGATGATGACTCATTGTTCTTCATTGAGGACAGGAAAAGAGGAAATTAAATTACAGCAGGAGAGAATCAAGTTAGATCTGAGAGAACTTTCTAGCAGCAAAGCTTTGTTGAACCCTGTAATGGTTAGATTGAGTTTAATAAGTACTTATTAAGCACCTTCTGTGTGCAACCCAGGGATACAAGGATGAAAAATGACACACAGCCCTCAGTGAATTTACCATCTATTAAGTTAAAGGATATAAGCATAAATAACTGTAATAAAAATTAGAATAAGATAAAGGCATATTTATATTAAACCTTTATTAAGCTATTCCTTCTGCATGTGTGTGTGTGTGTGCTTGTGCACACCATTATGCTAGAGCAAAATTTAACTGACACAGTCCCTGCCCTTATGGAACTTATAATCTATTAAAGACATATATTACAAACACAGATAACTATTGTATGGTGCAATTCACGATAAATATGTTAGAGAAATATAAAACACATTGCTAGATGCAATTCAGAAGAGAGGATCTTTATGAACAGGCAAAGGGGCAAAGTATGGATCTGGAAAGGCCTCAGGATGGAGATGGCCTTTAAGGGATGAAATCTTAACTTGTATTTTGGTTAACCTAAGGTTATCGGGAAGAAAAAAAACATTTTTTTTTATTTGACAGGAGTTCTGGAGAGATAAATGCTAGATAAAGTTGTCTTGTGCTTCGGTTCCTATATCATATTTTAAGTGTGGACTATTTTCTGCAAACATGATATACCATAATCTGATTTTGTGAACTTTAGGAAATGACTACTTGAGAAAAAAAGTTTATGTCCTTAGAAAGATTCGTATGTTACTTTCTTAAATAGAAAGTGCCATGCCCTACTTATTCATTTAAAATATGATTTTAATTTATATACTTTTTAGTGAAAACATTGTGTAAAAGATTATATACTCCTATGTCTATCTATGTATCTATGATCTCATTAATTTTAAGTCATTACAGGTGTTCCATCTGGCTCATAAATTCTTCTAAATAAATAGATGTACCTAATTTCTCTTTCTTTTTGTTAACATTGCAGGCTGCCTGAAAGCTGGGTAAAATAATTGTGCCAGCATTTTGTATCTTCTAACTTTTTCAGAACTTTCTTTTAGCCAAAAACAGACAACTACAAATATACAGTATAAAAATAACATACTAATTCTACTTGTTGGCAATATAGTAACCATAGAAAGCAAATGGCCTTCATATTGTTATAATATGAAATGAAGAATTTAACTCAAAACCAAAGAAAGTTGTAGGTTTTATGTCATAAAAATTAACTTGCTCCAGAATCTTACTGGATTCTACATCAGAAAATCCAGTCAGGGGAATCCCTACTGTGAAATAACTTTTTAATATGTATACTACATCACTGTAAAATATAGAACACATTATTTTACATTATATTAGTTCTAGGGTAGGGTGTTATTCTTTAAATGGAAATAGACTGTGGTGTTATTTCTTCCATGCAAATTCATGTCTTTTATCTTCTGTAACAAGTTGCCTTAAATGGTCAGAGTTTCTTGCCACCATTGGAAGAGTTAAATATTAGGCAAGGAATTCCAACACTTACAAAATCATGCCTTAAATTTCTGCGGGAAAATAACTTAATTGCATGAGGTCCATACAGGCCAGAAGCAATCTGTCTTTTTGCATGGGGTATTAAGGATAGTAGATCATTTTTAACAAAATTATCTCATGGTTTTAGAAAATTGTTTTATTGTGAAAAAAGGAAGTCGCAGGCAAATTCTTGTTTGTTGGCCAATCTATGCAACTTGCTGAGAAGAAACACAGTTCTTCATAGTGTGTTAATCAAGTCTGAGTGTCTGATGAATACCCACATTGTATTATTGACAATGTAGTGCAAAGTCACCTTGGATTTTCAAGCCGCTGACATTTCCTGTGATTGCATGTAAAGCAATATTATAAGCATTATCTAAACGTTTTGCATAAATAATGACCTTATTATAGTCAGTACAATTGACTGTTAAACCTGGGCAAGCAAACAATGTCATCCACATTGCCCTTTTAGAGTAATCATTAAGGTGTGCAGATTTTTTTTTAGTCGAATGTGGATAATATTTATTTTTGCTTTATTTATAAATGCTTTTTAGCTTGAGGAAGTCAGAGTTTAACTGTCACTGAGACAGTGTCATATTAAAAACAGTTTTCATTCATTCATTTATTCAGTGGCAATTTATTGACTACCTACTGTCTACAAACCATTGCTATGGCCCTTTCAGGGATGTGATGATGGAGGCAACATGTACTCTTATTTTCCTGGAGCTTACTGCCTTGGATGGTAGGTAAGATGTATACCCAGAAAAGGAGGGTACCATGTGGGTGCTAAAGTGCTCTGCAAAGAAGCAAGAGGGAGTTTTTCCAATTGGATTGGTAATGGAAGGCTTTATGGAGGAAATGACATGTGTCCTAGGGCTTGAAAATCCAGTTAGGGTTTTAATAGTCAGATTTGGAAGAGAAGAGGAAGACGGCATTTTTTGCAATCCATGCATCCACATAGCTACCAGATTGACAAATTGATAGTCCTAGAGCACATATGCACATATGACTAACCATTTTACTCTCCTGATCAAAAAGTGTCAGTAATTCCCTATTGCCCTATTGCTTGTCTCTTTGTCATTTCAAGTCCTCCACAATCTGGATATATTTCCAGATTTACTTCACATTATTTCTGCTCAGATACTGCATGTTCTGATCAAACTCATTTATAGGCTCTCCCCTATACACAACATTCATTTCTTGTCTTTGGATGTTTGTAGGTTGTTCCTACTCCTTGGAATATTCTATCCTTTCACCTCTACCTAGTGTAATCCCCAGGGCTACCTTTTCAAAAATTTTTTTGTTTGTTAGTCTTTTATACTGTTACCTTTTATAGGAGGCCTTCCTGATCCCCCTAGTTGAAAGTACTCCCCTCCCCATGACTTTGAATTGACTTTCCATTTATTTTGTGTTTTCTTATGTGTGTGAATGTTGTTCTCCTCTTGTTCGTTTTCCCCCAGTAGAATATAAACCATCCTGGGGATGGGAACCATGTTGATTTTTGTCTTTGACTCCCCAATACCTAGTAAATAGTAGGTGCTTAATCAAATGCATGTTAAATTATGTAGAGAATGTTAAGCAGTAATACAGTCTGTTTGGCTATTACAGTATTAATACAGAGGAAGAAGAGTGGCAGATTAAACTGAAAACTAAAAAACTGAGATTGAGATCAATATCAGTTTGTAGCCTCAATCAGGGACATGCCATTAAATGTTTAACAACTGGCTCTACAAGAGGAAAAAATAAATGTATACTCAACATACTTTTAAGTTTAGTCTGCAACATGAATGTTTTCTCCATCATTTTCTTAAGTGTAGACAGTCATATAAATCAATAATGCAATCAATAAAACAATAAATCAAGCCCTGATTTGTGGCATTTGCCAGTTCTTGAGGTTAACAGTTGACTCTCTAGAGCTGGTTCAGCAGGCTGCAGCACAACCCTGGCTTTTCAGTCCACCTGGAGTCAAGCTCAGCAATCTGGACTTTATTCTGAGGCATCTACTGAAGATTTTTTTTAACAAGATAGTGACATGATTAGACTTTATTTTAGGAAAAAAATAATCTGATCATGGTGTGGTTCATGGACTGGAAAGAAGAGACTCTGGAAGATGGCAGATAACCAATGGTTAAATTTTTAACAGTTTGGGCAAAAAGCATTTAAAATCATTGATTTAGGGTAGTGATATCAGGAATAGGTAAAAGAGGACAGACCTGAGAGAAGCGGGGAAAGTAGGATAGACAGAAGTCAGTGAGTTGTTGGTTGTTGGAGTTGAGGGAGAGGAAAGAATCAAGTGACCTTAAGTTTACAAGTCTGGATCACTAGGAGAATTATGGTGTCATTAATAGAAATGGGTATTTAAATCTGAAGAACTGGTTTAGGTAGGTACAAGGATGATGAGTTTAATTTGGTCATGTTGAGTTTGAGGTGTTGGTAGGGTAGCCTGATGGGGAGATATCTAGAGATTGAACATTGAAGCTTGGAGTTTGCAGAGAGGTCAGGGTTGTAGATGTCCATTTGGACATGTCCAAATATTCCTGTCAATGGACAGATTCATCTGATGAGATCACCAAATTTCTAATCAGTTGCCAAACCTTGTTGATTCTACCTCCACATTATTTCTCACAA